AAAAAAAAAAAAAAAAAAAAAAAACTAAAAACCCACATTTGAAAGCACTGCATGTGATATTCAAATGAACCAATCGGCCACACACTAAACTGCATTAACGGTAGTGGGGGGGAGGTTATGAGTCAGGCTGCCAGACCTGGAAAGTACTTCACGATCCTTCCATCCCCACTTTGCTCTTCAAACTGTGGCCTTCCTGTAGTCACAGTGGTGGACTGTGATGCATACCAATGGAGGAAGGTGGGGATCAGGAAACAAGGTCAGGGATCAGGAGTCAAGGTCAAGGGTCAGGGGGGACGGGTGGGGGAAGGAGTCACGACTGAGGCTTGCTGGCCTCCTCTTCATAGGCATTGCCCGTGCCATTCTGCACGTAAGACGAGCCTGAGCCCAGGCCGTACAGGTGCCCACAGTACTTGGCATCATCGATATGGTCCTCGAAGAACATCTGGAAGAGAACGGGCATACATTACACTGGGAACCATCACATGCAGAAAGCATTCGGTTTAACAAATACTCCTACTGCAGCATTTCAGCTCTGTGAATCCTGAGGTTGGCAAGTTTTTTTGTTTTGCCTGGATAAGCAAAATATATTTTTTCCTGCTTGCAAAACTGACGGTTTCTCCATAAGAAACCTCTCAGTACCATCCATTTTACAGAGCTTGATACTTATTGTAGCAGCTCAGCGTAACGATCTTGTACAATAGTCCCCCTCTCAGGATCAGATGATGACAAACAGGTTCATAGGACTCGGTGCTTCAATACTGCAGTGAATAAACCTGCCCCACTCTGTGACTGAACCCCTCCTTTCTCATCCGTCTTCTTCACTCGCTGAGCTTTTTAAGATGTACTGCACCAAAATTGCCAAGCATAATACATCAAAAGCCACAATCAGGGGTAATGAAAAGGCAATCGAATTTTAATCCTTGATCACTGATGCTCTTATCTTAAATGGTGGCCATATTTGATTGCATTTGGTTGAACTAGCTGTCTCTCGTGAACATGTCTGTGTATGTTTACATACGTAAACGGTATGCGTGTGTGCAGTGGTGTGTAGGCTACCTCTCTCATCTTGAAGAAGGCCATTCCTGTGAGCAATGAGTCAGACCCAGCCTGGTGCTGGGGGCCAATTCTCTCAAGCTCCAGTTGTTCAGCCACTTCCTGCAGACCACCCTGTCAATCATCAGCACTTTGTCACCTGATTGGCTATGGCTCAAACTGACCAACCTTTCATGTTGAACAGTCAGCTGAAGTTAGAGCAACCTTACTAGTTGTGATAAGTAACCACGCTAGATTTAATAAGCCAATAGAGTTTGAGCAAAACCTACTGATATTAGGGGAAACCTTTCAAATGCTGACATCAGCCTTCACCTTTAGGTTTTTGCAGCTCTTCATGAGGTACTTCACATCATAGATAATGGGAAAAAACAAACGTAGAATCTCAAAGAAGTCCACTTCTTCTTCAGGTAAATTGGAATTGGACAGGATTTTGATCAGGTATCCGAAGTCGTAGCCGCTACAAAAAAAAGACAACAAGGTGAACAGGAATGGATATGGCAGCAAAAGTAATACAGTAGAACCTTGGAACTCAAAAGCCTCTTAACGCAACCAACCAGCACCTCAACCAAAATCTCGACTCAACTGCTAAAACTTGCATGGGTCGAGACGTGTTCAACTCTACCAATGCGGACCTTGAACGGGTCAGTCTAAAAAAATCTAGCTGCAACTCAACCAAAAACTCAGAACAGGACAAAACAAAACAGATCAGCTAAAACTTGTACGGAACAAGATGTGTTTGCCCTTCCAAACAAAAACCCCCCCATCCCTCCTACTCTCCACCTACCACTTACAGTATGCCATCACCTCACTTCAATACAGGCAAAGTGCTCATAAATTGTCATTTCACGTTTACTGATTTTGTGTATTCATTTACATTACTTCTTAAGGGGAAGTTCGACTTCGCCCTCGATCAAGCTGCAGCTCGACCAGCCTTCTGGAACAAATTAAGTTTGTGTTCCAAGGTACCACTGCATAGTAATATTTACTGAAGGAATGAATGAAATTCAAAAATCTGTCCACAAGACAGTATGGTGCAACCCATTGGGTCCCGGGGGACAGGGTGCATACCTGTGGAACGACAGCCAGTGGATTCCTTCGCACAAGACAACCCCAGAGGTCATAAGCAGCTCGGCGAAGAACTGAGTCTCGATTCCCTCGTCCTCATGCTTCTTGAACTGGATTCCCGACGAGGTCAGCAGCTCGATGGAGTCCTGAGCGTACATGTCTTCCCTGCCAGGCGCAGTGCAAACAAAAACTGAGGGCTGACAGCCAAACGCAATCGCCTCCCCAAACAGCACTGCGGAGAATGCATTCTTTAGATCATTGATCATGTCATTTGATTTTATGCATGAGCGTTTTAGACTGGTCCTTAATTCACATCAAACATTGATTCACCTTTTAAATTACAACACTAAGTTTGCATCCAAAAACCAACTGCGAAACATTAGCAGGAAATAAACTACGTATAAGTGCATTACTGGAATTCTAAACAGAAAGAATGATGCACAAGTGACAGGATGAATGACAGTATGTTTGTAAGTAATGTATGTCTTGCATGCACAGCACAACTTAAGTGATACAATTCCAATAACCAATCAACCGATACAATTTTATATGTTCAAGAAATTAAGACACCAATATCAGATTCAGGACACTGTCAATTTGTCAAGCTCAAAACAGCAGTGATCCAGTATACAAAACAAGCCACCTTATATCAGACCTAAAAAAAAAACTGTCATAAAACAATATATGCATGCACGCACACATTATATTATATTATATATACACACACACACACACACACACACACACACACACAGACGCTCCTCTACTTACGAACGAGATACATTTTGAACAGCCGTTCATGACTTGAAATGTTCATAAGTCGTTATCCAACATTATTTTAAGGGTATACGCAAGTACAAAGAACTAGGATGCTGGGAGTTCGCACGCTATGCTGCTGCGCGGAGGGAATGGCGGCCAGAAGTTGTACTAGGCGGTATTGGCGTGCAGAGAAAAAAAATTGATGTTGCAGAGAGGAAACGAAAGTCCAATAAACACAATTTGGACTTACGAACTTTCAGACATACGAACGAAGAGGACTGTAAGTTGAAAGTTCGTACACCTGGCCATTGCAACCACAAGAACATTTATGACATCCCATTCTAAATCCACAGGCATCAATATGGAGTTGGTCCCCCTGACTGTAACAGCTGCCAGTCTTCTGGGAAGGTTTTCCACAAAATTTTGGAGTGTATCTCTGGGAATTTTTTCCCATTCATTCAGAAGAGCATTTGTGAGGTCAGGCATTGATTTTGGAAGGGATGTCAAAAAGTTCCTGTAGGTGTAATGGCCACACGTCACAATACTTTTCTTCATTTAATGTGTGTAATGTTTATACACACACACACACACACACACACACACACATATATACACTCACCTAAAGAATTATTAGGAAAACCATACTAATACGGTGTTTGACCGCCTTTCGCCTTCAGAACTGCCTTAATTCTACGTGGCATTGATTCAACAAGGTGCTGAAAGCATTCTTTAGAAATGTTGGCCCATATTGATAGTATAGCATCTTGCAGTTGATGGAGATTTGTGGGATGCACAAAGCTCCCGTTCCACCACATCCCAAAGATGCTCTATTGGGTTGAGATCTAGTGACTGTGGGGGCCATTTTAGTACAGTGAACTCATTGTCATGTTCAAGAAACCAATTTGAAATGATTCGAGCTTTGCGACATGGTGCATTATCCTGCTGGAAGTAGCCATCAGAGGATGGGTACATGGTGGTCATAAAGGGATGGACATGGTCAGAAACAATGCTCAGGTAGGCCGTGGCATTTAAACGATGCCCAATTGGCACTAAGGGGCCTAAAGTGTGCCAAGAAAACATCCCCCACACCATTACACCACCACCACCAGCCTGCACAGTGGTAACAAGGCATGATGGATCCATGTTCTCATTCTGTTTACGCCAAATTCATTTTTCAAATTCAAATTCATTCGACTCTACCATTTGAATGTCTCAACAGAAATCGAGACTCATCAGACCAGGCAACATTTTTCCAGTCTTCAACTGTCCAATTTTGGTGAGCTCGTGCAAATTGTAGCCTCTTTTTCCTATTTGTAGTGGAGATGAGTGGTACCCGGTGGGGTCTTCTGCTGTTGTAGCCCATCTGCCTCAAGGTTGTGCGTGTTGTGGCTTCACAAATGCTTTGCTGCATACCTCGGTTGTAACGAGTGGTTATTTCAGTCAAAGTTGCTCTTCTATCAGCTTGAATCAGTCGGCCCATTCTCCTCTGACCTCTAGCATCAACAAGGCATTTTCGCCCACAGGACTGCCGCATACTGGATGTTTTTCCCTTTGCACACCATTCTTTGTAAACCCTAGAAATGGTTGTGCGTGAAAATCCCAGTAACTGAGCAGATTGTGAAATACTCAGACCGGCCCGTCGGGCACCAACAACCATGCCACGCTCAAAATTGCTTAAATCACCTTTCTTTCCCATTCTGACATTCAGTTTGGAGTTCAGGAGATTGTCTTCACCAGGACCACACCCCTAAATGCATTGAAGCAACTGCCATGTGATTGGTTGATTAGATAATTGCATTAATGAGAAATTGAACAGGTGTTCCTAATAATCCTTTAGGTGAGTGTATATAGACATTCCATTCCCAGCTGGTCACTAAAATCTTATATTACATATAAACTTGCATGTGAGTTTGGTCACTTCTGTACTGTACATACCATAACACTTTCTAATAATACCAGGCTGGTCTGGTTAACCCCTTACAGCATATCCTCCAGTCAGAGAGCTCTCTCTCACCGTAAACATTTTCAGAGACATCCATCAGTGAATTCAGCAAATGCACAAAGCCTTATTACTGCATACTGATATATCAGACAAGCTCTGGTATGTTTTAATATTAAAAGGGTACCAAAAAAAAAAAGAGGAAGGAAGAAGAGAGTTTTGAGCTTACGTGAGATTGAACTTGAAATTGAACTGCCACGTTGATGTTCCCGGAGGGTACTCCCCCTGCTCATTCATAAAGGTCAGGCCCAGCTGGATTATCTTCAGCAAATCCACATTGCACCGCAATAACTGGTACTGGTAATCCGCATTGCTCCTAAACTCTCCAATTGGCCGAGCAACTACACCGGGAAACTCTGTATCCTGCAAACAGTGAGGACCAACAAATAATCAATCAAATAATTAAAATAATGAGATAAACAAACAAATAAATGACAGACAGAGATAAAGATGCAGTTTAATATTACCGTTGAATAATGCAGACACCCAAAACAGTGTTTTCCAAATGATGTAATTTATCATTTACACAAACCCATATTGAGGATACACTGCTATATTAATCTATTTTAAAGTACTGCTAAATTTGACGGCTAACCCAGGAATAATCTTTGTATCTATTAATACCAACTACCGTCTTTGCGGAAATATGAAAATAAGAAAAAAGGCCATATCAGAGAAATGAAACGAGAGGGTAGTACAGACTGTCAGGGTTTGATGTGGTGCAGGCCAGTGAAAACTTACCATTGCAATGTAGTTATATTTGCGGATGACCTGACGGATTTTCTTCAGTTCCTCCTCCAGATTACAAGCCCAAACCTCACATATTCTTTGGCTATGATCCACAGTCGCCGCGGGCATAGTGCCAAGTTTAGATGCAAGGCATCAAAAACAAAAAACCTTCCTGGTAAGGACAATGTCATGGAATTAGGGGTCCTAGTCCTTTTTAAGGCCTACAACAAGAAGGGAAACATTATGTAAATAGGACACTCATTCAACTTCTACGAAAGATTAAACGTGTACATTACGTTTTTAAAAATGTCCCAGAATTGTGAATATGCCACATAACAGAAGCCACAATGCAGCATCAATATATGGTTCTGTGTCTGTGTGTATTTGCCATGAAGTATGTAAAAAATGTTTTATTTAAAAGGGCCCATTAACAGATTTTTCAGTTTACATTTCATATTAAAGTGTATGGTTGTGATTTTACTTCTGTACCAAACATTAACAGATGCATGAGAGAAAGCGTCTTGGGGTGGAAATTATCTGTTGTACTGAAACATTCTAAACGAGAGACTATATAAGCTCCAGGTTTACATATTCAGCAAAGGAGATTTTTCCAATCAGATATCTTCTGCCAGAATAGTGTAGATGTAGAATAGACCGCAAATACATATATAAGAACAAATGAAAACTTATATTATTAAATGGGGACAACTTTGGTTTTAATTACATAACCTATAACTGTAGAATACAATATTCAGTAGTCAGGACTTCAATAAATAAATGGAAAGCAATAGTTTAAAATTGTCTATCGCATGCATAAGTCTGTCACCGGCACTGTCAATCTGCGCAGACTCACGCGGACCAAACGCCCAGCAACGTCAAAGCCGGCGGCGGCACTTGGAAGCTACAGGCAGCCAGTTCGCCAAAACAGCCCCTGACCAACAAGTTCTTTCGCACAGACAGAGAAAGCATGACACGTGTAAGCAGGTGCCCAGCACCAAGGTGGCTCATTTGGTGGTGTGAGATCTGATCTCCCAGTAGCTAACACCAGTTATCAAGTTGAGTAGCAAACACCAAAGCGTTAGCGAACTGCAAGAGACAAACGTGGTTTAGTAACAGACTCAGCTAAATATACTCAGAAAGGTGGGCTTGTCTCATATTCCTCACAGCCGGAAATGCTTCCACGAGTAAATGGCTTAGTTAGTTAGACATACGGACTGATGTTACCCGGACCAGCCCGCTGTGGCCAGTTTGGGTTTGTTTCGAATTCGGCTTCAGCGCCGGAGCCCTGCGGTCCACTCAGCTAGCGTGCTAATACTTGTAGCTCCCCTTAAACAGCAACGTTGACTTACCTCTGCTAAGCAAAGCCCGGTGCGTTTAAGGCACCGCACTGAGCACAATATTTACCTTATTTAGAAAGGACCGGGGCCCGGAGTCTAGCTTTTAAACAGTTTTATTTTTGTACAGCACGAAGTAAACAGTGAGCCTCCACCTTACAACTTCCATCACGGCCGCCGCGCCGCCCCGTGACGTCACCAAATCACGTGGCCATGACCTTTCAACTCCGCGCATGGCGACGGGTTTTTTTTCCCTAAATAAAATTTTGGAAATGTAAGCGCTCCAGCTCGAATATAAATAATGCATTTTATCTTTTGGGTAATGAGATTTTTGCTCACAAGCTTGATGACGTAATTGAGCTAATCCCCGTGTCGGTGTCTGATGTGTTGAAGCCGATCGGCTCTCCATTGTCTTGTTTTACAGTACGATGTTACATTTGCTCTTTAATTACTTTAGCAAAGTATAGGTGAAGTTATATATCTATAATGCGATTGCAGTCAGTCTGAGCCTGTGTCGATTAGTAGCGCAATAAATGGCTCAATTTTTGTTATAAGAACAATAGTACTCGTTTTTCATGTAAATACACTGATAAAAAAATATCTGTCATTTAAAAAGTAAGATTGTGAATGATTTTTCGTTTCGGTTCGTTACTGCTGCGTGATGTGCCTGCTAAAAATGAGCTAATTTAAAACAAAAACTAGAACTTCTCCCCATGCTTGTATTATTTTATACCATATTTTATTTTTCCATATTTTATAGACAGTTAATTGATTGATTAATTGAATAATTGATTCATTCATTCATTCATTCATTAGAGCGAAACGCCATATGACAGAGTGAAATGCCAAGGAGATATAGAGACATACTTTATCGACCCCATGGGTAACTTCAGTTCCTCACAGAAATAAATAATGAACATAAAGTGCACCGATACAAACATATACTGCACACGCAAGACAAGGTGCAGGACAATAGAACAACGCGCATGATATAATAGTTTGTTTTTAAGTGGGGGGAATGGGGCTAAAGCCCCGCTAAAATAGGACTAACGATGCCCCGGATGCACACTATTATTCGGTTATTAAAATTGGAGCAGTTGCACGTTTTGTTTGGTTTTATTATGATCTTTGATTTCAGTTCTGATTAATATACATTGTGACAGTTACCACCATTTTTTCCCCCACGCTAAGAATAATACTATGGATTACTATGTTTTATATGCAAGAATATACATATTATTGTATTACTAAATCTCTTGTTGTATTGCACATAACAGTACCATCATGCCATGCTGATGTGCATATGAATAGAATAAATTAATAGTGTTAATCTATTGTACAAAAAGAAAAGTCTATTTATTTAAAATGGGTCTTAAAAAAAAGAACTCTGACTCCAGTAACTCACCTGGTACGGGACACAGGTCTGTTTTCTTTTTTAATTGGTACTTTTTCTACTTCGTATTTCCCTGCAAATGACACTAGCTGTCGCTCCCAGGTTGTGAAATTTTACTTCTGGATTTATAGAACACAGTGGGAAGGCACCCAAAACGCTTCTTCTGTTTCTATACAGGTGGTAACTTTAGATGGAAAATAATGGGGTCTTTATTTTTATCTCTTAAAGAATACTCCTGCCACATTTGCCTGCAGAGGCAAACATGCCGTTATTCAAGTCAAGAAGAAGAAAATCAATTACTAATTTCTCTAATTATATTCATTGTCTCACTTCTGTTATGCATGGATCTTACGCTGAGGTGAAATACTGCATCATTCCTCATTGGTCATAATTCAGAAAAGTAATAAATGGAATATAAATATGTAAGACATAAAAACATAAAACACATTATGACATACAGTACATATAGTAGAATCTAGACATCTATATGAGACAAAAAATATATACATCTGATTACTTGGGAAATGTTATGAAAATGGGCAATGAAATTAAATGAATAGATGGGAGAAATGTGAAATACATAGATGAAATAGATTTTAGTATCAATGTGCTGAATATGAGATGTTATCCAGTCGAGTCCAGTGCAATATAGAAAATTAGTCCTTTTAACAGACCGAGTCTTGCACTAGGAGGAACTTGAGTGTTCCATACTTGAAATGCCATGGGGGAAAGTTGTTTTTAAGCTTGACTGTTCTGGCTTTGAGGGGGCAGTGCCTCCCACCAGAGAGCCGTGGGGCTACGAGGCTGCGAGTGGGGAGGGGTGGGTTTCTGATCAGCGTTGTAGACATCCAGCAGGGATGCCAGCGATGCTGTTTTCATGACCCGCAGGAGAGACTGGTGGTCTGAGGCTTTGCGGGATCTGAAGCAGGCTGTGATGCAGGACACATCAAGATGGTGCGTCTGCAGAAGGTGGACAGGAAGGAAGGTGGCAGTCTCCCTAATGGTTTGTATAAATAAACAAACAAACCAGTGTGATTCATGCCCAAAGCAAAATGTCTTTGGACTGAGGAAAAAGAATCACTGTCCAAGTTGTCTGACGTCTTTTAGCAGAGATTATTGTAAGAAAATAGATCCAGATGTCATAGGCTGCGTCAATCTTTTTTCCCCACTAAAATTATGTGTCAAGTGATAAAAATAACTACTGTACAGTGATCAAGATTCGAGGAGGCTATTTTCCTTTCCTTCCATTTTCATCTTCTAAGATTAGTGGTGGCTTGATCCTTAACAAGCTTATCTCATAAAGAGCCTCACACATACATTCACACACAAGTCACCCTTTAATGGTTATTCATCTCCAAAGCAGAATACCTTTGGACCAAGGGAAGAAACCACTGCCCAAGCTGTCTGATACCTAAAGCACGAATGTTTCAGCAGAAATTCAGCAAGAACATAGATGCAGATATTGCAGGCTGCCTATATCTTTTTTTCACTACAGTTATATGTCAAGTGATAAAAATAACTAAACACTATACTACAGTGATCAATTATCTCACTTTAATCTTTGTCTCTATATCCATCCATTTTCCAATCATAGTCAAGGCTGTGTGGGGTCTGTCTCTGGCAGCACAGGGAACAAGCGTGAGGTAAACATTCAAAATGTTTAAAAATCTTTCTTCGGAGGAACAAGTTATAAATTACATCTTAACAAATATTTTATGTTTGTATTGTTATGCCAGTTAGTGTCAACAGTATATTTGCCCTGCATTAGACTAGCATCTTGTCAAGTTCATCTACAGCCTTGTCTCCTAGGTCTCCAGGACCATGGTGACCCTGTACTGGGTTAGCAGTTATTGAAGATGGATGGATGGATGGATGGATGGATGGCAGGCACACTGAAGCCTAGTATCATCAGTTACATCCTTGAGGCATTAGAGGGCATGAAAAACGCAGTCTTGACACAGCTATGGTATGTAATGACCTGGTTCTTGCTCTGGCGTGTTCTGTCACAACATGAGTATCAAGCCTGCTGTTTCACCCAATACTATCAGAAGGAACATTATGGAATGGATGTAAGTGATGAACTGTAGTGAACAATATGTTGTCCTGCTTATTATCAGTGCTATTTTCTGGTCCCTCTTATATTCTCAGATTACATACTGCAAACTTTGACATTTGTGTCTTTTGGTCACATGGTTGTTCCATGACTTTTGGTACATAAGAGTATGTCCGACCATTGAGATTCCAGCTTTATTCAGCCTGCCATGCCACACACACTCCAGCAACAGAAGACAAAGAGGACACCTTCTTTAGGTCATCATAAGCATGGCAGTATCTGAGAAGACTGACAGCATACTACTGCCCTCTGTGGGCAACCATGGGCATAGCAGTTGAACCAAAGTACTTGTCAGGACATTTATTTCACATTTCCTTTTTAAAAAGAAACTTTTATGGTCTAAATTTATCCTGTCAGCCCCATTCCTCTGCTCTTACACTTTGTAACAAAAATAGAAAATGACCTGGAGGGCTGCCAGTTGTCTTCCTCTATGAGTTTCCGGAACTGGGCTGTCCAGTCATCACACGTGTGGACTTATGTTTCATGGTTACATGCAGCATAACTCTTTAGTGTAAGTTGCTGTTAGGAGAAGCTGTGTCCAAATGGCTCCCAGTCCAACGGAGACAGAACCCTGTCAGTACATGGGAAAAGCTAATTTACTGTTACATTCCTGTTACATTCCTGTTACCTCCTGCTCCTTCTTAGTTTCTTCTTTATTTCCTCTTGCTATCGTAGAGCCTTCATTCCATGAAATTCTCAACGTGGCGCCTCAACACATCAGCACATTTTACGTGGAAGTTTAATTTCATCATGAACTGTGATTTCTCCCTCTTCTAGGTGCACCATGGCTACAAAGAGGCTAATAGTTGGTAACATGCTATGCTAGCTGGAAAGCTCAAAATGTAACGGTCCTAAACCCCAGGACAGACATGGGTAACTCCGGTCCAGAAAGCAAAAAATCCAGACCAAGATTTTGTTTCAACCCACCAGTCCAGTATAAACTGTCACAGTCACAGAGTAGCTACTCAACTTGCTGATGAAACAGAATCTGGATTTGTTTTTTACTTTCTGGTCCTGAACTATCCACCTCTTACTCAGAGGGTGTGTGTTGTTGTACCCTTCAACAGGATTTATTTTTACTTTTCCCAGGAAAGGAGCTGTCTAAATTATATACAGGATGTGTACAATTCCCAGTTTGCCATGCCATTTTCTTGGAAAATTCGAAAATACAATAATTTAAATTGTTAGAATTATTTTAAATTAGCCATTATTCTGCAGCATTCACTTTCCTAGAATGTCCTAAGGAAATAAAAAGTAGTTTTCATCTGCTTTTGTTTTTCGGTGTTGGAGGACGTTTGGCTGGAGTTCAGAGATGCACAGCAATCAAAGACCTGACCAAACAATGAGACCCATTAGCGCAGCATAGATGTACTTAAATGTGTCAAGAACAGCAAATGTTAATGAGAGTTTCCTAGTAATCACCACTGTGTTTTCTTGTCGGTATAATGGAGAGAGTGGAAAATGGTCTTGTGGAAATTTGCCTCTCATGAATTTGATTATTACAACCATGGGGACAAAATAAGAAAGGTGGCACAAAATGATTGTCAAAATAAAATGATCATTTATTAAATTTCATTTACATACCAATCTATCAATAATCATCTAGGTTTTTTTTTTGGAGGTATTCTCTGCCTCATTTTTATTATAACATTAAATTGAATTGTTGTTGTGTAAATAAAA